TACATACTTTCTTACGCTATTCTAAAATTGATTCATCTATATTATATTGTATATTTTTTATATTACGATTTTACTTTATATTAGGTTGATTCTTTATTGTGTTAAGTATTTCACTTACAATTGATTTAGTTTATTCGATTGATTGTTTAAGTTATTTAAATTATTTTTCTTCGAAATCTCCCTTTTAACATAAACCTTTTATTTATTAATCAATTTTTGATAATTCTAATTTTGTTAATTATTAAATATACTAGTTACTATAAAAAAGTAACACATTTATAAGACTATCAAGGGCAACTTTACATTCTTAAACATTCTTTTAAACATTTTGAACCGGAAGAATTATTAATTTGGACACGTACTATCAATGCAAAAGCCTATTATTTATTGATTTTAATGATCAGCTTAAGTATATGTAATCTTAATTTTTCTATTTCTATTAAAATTGATATTTAATTTTTTGTAAATATACACTTATTCAAATTAGTTAAATATAGGTGATAAATTTTTTGTTCCAGATATGAAAAGATCACAATTAAGATAAGCAAATTAACTAGTAAACTTTATCTTAAAGATGATTATTGCCATAATTATACCAAAAATGAATAGATATGAGCATAGTTTATCTTCACTAATATTTTAACCTATTTATAAAAAATTCGATATAATTGATTGCATAAATTAATTAGTATCAAGAAATTAAAAGTTCAATAAAATAGGCTCAGAAAAATAAAATAGAATTTTATTTCAGATCCAAATTTTTTATTGTTCGATTTTGGAAGTTATACTTCTTGCATACTCTTATTTGAAAATTAAAATAAATAATCCTTATGATAAAATCTTCAATTTTTAATAGATCGTCTTTCAACTCTTTTATTCCTTCATATGAGTCTTTGAATTAATTTTCTCCTTTCTAAAGGAACACTTAAAGAGTATTCTACTTTTACTCAGCTAAGTTTGCAAAAACTAATACTTTACTTCTAAGTTATGGCTAACTTTTTTATTGTTTAAAAATGTAAATCTAGCACATATTTTATTAACAAAATCAAAACATAATTTTGTTAAAATGAATGAGAATTCATCGTTATTTTATAAGTATCATGAAATCAAAAACAAAGACATCATTGACCTAATTATAAAAATAAAAAAGTTAGGATTCGTATTATTATGGAGAAGATATTACAAAATGTTAAAATCACTTTATTATTTTATTTATTCTCAATATATGTATTTAAATCAAGAGATTTATTATATTTTTACTTCGCAATAATATAAATTCAAATGTGAATCTTAACATTTATGTTTATTTTATAGCTCTAATATTGATCTTATTGTAGCGATAAGAGAATTAAGAGTTTTATTTAGAACAATCAAAATGTATCTTGTTTAAAAAAAGAAGAAATAGTTTATTAACTCATCTTCTTTATAGCATTTCCTATAATTTGGAAAGAATCCAAGTCAAAAAAGCAGAAAATGAAAG